AAAATAGGCCATATGGGGCGGGGGGGGGGGGATCATAAACGTTAAACAGGAAGAAGAGAAACTTGGGCTTTCTCCGATCACTTTTCAGATAACACAGTGGTGGAACAGCATGTCCTCTCAGCACTCTGAACATTTCCTGGCATAGGAAGGTCAGACCTTTATCGTCTTTATCAGTCACTATTTCCACTTTAGGGGAACTGTTCAAAGAGGGAAGTAGCTGGGTGAGCGCCTCAATTCTTTCTGATTTCTAAGGGTGGGAGTAGCTGGGAACAGCTTTTATTATTATTGTTATTATTATAGCTGAGATATGCTGCAATCACTTTAATCCAAATTGTACTATTATGGGGAAAGACCTAGAGAAGGTCATCACAAACAGAAATAGGTAAAAAATATAATTTCTGAGGGTGTGATTGGCGTAGTCCCTTCATTTTGCTGGTGGGCAAAGTGAGACCTAGAAGGGTCACAGAGTCTTCTCAAGGTCATGCTCATATAGTTAAATTCCAGATCCCAGGTCTGCTGCGGCTGAGGCCACAGTATCTAAAGCACCCTTAAAACCCTGCAGAAGAACCTCTGAGATAGGCATATGGGAGACAGTGCCATCCGTCTTAAAAATCACTTCGGCGTCTGCCAGCTGATGAGGGGAATAAAGTTAATGACACCCACATCCGTACCATGCTGTCATAGGCTCTGTACCCAGACGGCCTGGAGGTGAGCACCGCACACCCTGTGACGTAGGAGAAAAGGCTCCTCTCTGCAGGGATGGCGTGTGTGCCTGCAAAGCGTCTGCTTTTGAATGGGACACACAATCACATGATTAGTTAATACCTGGCAAAGGGATGAAGGCAGGGTAGCCACTGGGACCCATTCACCCAGAGCCTTTGGGTGAATGGGGCCTTGTCTTTGATAATGGGTTGCTCAGAGGCTGAAGGGAAGTTACAAGGGTTGGATTTAGCCATCTGGGTTGAAAATACAGTCCCCCACATGAGAGGAGCCTTGTTATGGCTGTGCCGCAGGACGAGAGCAGAGTTGACTCTGGAAGTCAGAACTCACAGACGGTCGCTGTTCTGCTCTCTCCATTGCCCCCACATAGCTGCCGCCTTTCATAAGACCATCTCAAAGATAAATTTTCCAAGTGCCCCTGGTAGGTCATTCCCAGTTTCACAAATGTGCATATGTTATGTGAGGATTTATAATCCCATATACTGGCCTTGAGTTCCTGTCCAAACTGCCCCTTGGGAATAAAAGCATAGCATTTTGTTCCCATCTTTCCTAAGTGTCCAAAGGGCGGGTAGGCTGATTGACAGTTTGGTTGTCCCTGATAAAGGCTTGCCCCGCAGGCAGGCTTAGTTCCTTAGGAAAAAGTCCTTGGGCTGTTTCAGAAACTTCTATATGCGTTCTGCAATATCCTAAAATACAGTGGGCAAGACTTGGGCAGAATACAGCTGTTACCAGGGAGGAAGACCAAGGTGTTTGTCTGCCCTTCTTGGTAAGCTAGGGAACCTTTCCAAGAAGCCATATCTCGGGAAAACACTCATTTATCCTTCCATAGGGATAGAGATACTAAACAATGTATTTACCACATTCTTTCTTGTCCTAGAACTGACAGAAACATCTCCAAGATTTTGATCAGCTTTCTTAGCAAGCAACTGAGACACAGAGTCTAAAGCCTCGTCCCAAGGTGTCATCTACTGGGAATGGAAATGGGAGAGGTATGTGAGGAAAAAGAGGTGATCTGGGAAAATCACCCATGGCACAGAGACTTGGTTCATGCCCTTCTGTATGTATTTCCCGCTGAAGCACGAACTAGACTCCTTTTCTGTTTCAGTGGGATGTACTGTATATTCTACCAGGGGTTGTTTCCCCAAGCAAGCTTGACCTTTTCATTGTTAGGATTAGGGTGTCAGAGCAGCTGATTAAAAATTTGTTTATATTTGTTGTCATTCAAAACTTGGCCGATCTTGTCCCTGGCTGTGCCCTGGGCTAGTTTGCAGTGTCTGTAGACACTTTTGATTGTCATGACCAGGGAGGAAAAAAATGCTACTGGCACCAGACAGGCTGCTACAATGCACAGGGCAGACGTCATGACAAAGAGTTACAGAGATCAAAATGCCAATAATGCAGAGGCTGAGAAGCAGCCTTATAGATCATGTCTGTCTGAATTATTGAGAAGACAAGAAACTGTTGGGATTATACTAGTCCCATACTTGCTATAAGCTTCTGTAAGGGCTCTGGGGATCAAAGACATATTCCCTTTGGTTTAAAGGAATGTATTTCCAGCATTAAATAATTAAATAAAAATTGAGTATTAGTTTTAAACCATGTGGATATAAGGCCCCAACCTCCAACTTCAGCGGGAAATACATACAGAAGGGCATGAACCAAGTCTCTGTGCCATGGGTGATTTTCCCAGATCACCCCTTTTTCCTCACATACCTCTCCTATTTCCCTTCCCAGTAGATGACACCTTGGGACGAGGCTTTAGACTCTGTGTGTCAGTCGCTTGCTAAGAAAGCTGATCAAAATGTATGTTATTGGATCATAGGGTGTCACACGTTAAGTTTAAGAATGCCAGGCTGTTTAACAAGGCAGCAGGAACTGCAGCCAGATTGCTTATGTGCGAATGTGGGGACACGGCTGATGAGCACTGCAGTGAGGCTGGTGTTCTAGACCCCCAGTCTGACTTTCCAAGGTCTTCATTCACTCCCTGCATTGGCAGCATGTGAGGCTCCAGCATCACTCACTTCAGTTGTTTTTGTTTCTTTTGCTGTCAGTCGCTGGTTGTGCACAGAGGCAATGCAGCAGCGCCATGGGTAGTGCCCTGGCGGCCCCCTCATGATTTTCAACACTCTCAAACAGGTGAGCGGCAAGCCTCACTTAATCTAAGAAGGGCCTGGGCCCTGGGAATATACACTGGTTTGTTCCAACCCTAAATCCACCTCTTGGTGAGAAGGAGTAGTTATTCTCATGTAACCTGCAAGGGAGCTGCTCGCCTCTGTTTACCCTAGGTTCCAAGGCCTTTTGTATGTTCTACCCAAAATCTGAAAGACGAAAGTATTAGAGAAGCAAATTCCACTTGAACAAGACATCTCATTCTGTTAATGCTCCCCTGCGACCCCTTTTGCTTCATCTCTCTGGGAAATGACAAAGGGAATAAATATTGACTGAAATGAAATGAAGTGCCCACCCTCTGGCTTCAACAGATGCAGCTGGATCTCTCTCGTCATGCCCCCTGTTTCCTCACAAGCATAGCAAGTTCTCGATCACGTCCATTGCTGCTCACATGGGCTTTCAGCCCACAGAGGGGAAGGGAGACTCAGTGAGACTCTCTGATGGGCCACCACCAGTTCACTTGAGGAATTAACACAGCATAGCCTCACCCTTATCTAAGCGATTGCAATGCAGACCTTTCAGACCAATTCTCCTTTTTGAGAAAGCTCATGTCTGGGAGAGAAAAACCAAGGATTGCATCAAGAAAAAAAGCAGTGGGGATGGGTAGAGGGATAGGACTCTTCTTGCCCCCCACCCTACTCCATGAAGTGGGTAAATCTCACAAGGTCCTGGAATGCTGGGCTTGGAAAAAAAAAACTTGGCTATTTACATTCTAAGCTATGGTTGGGACAGTGGCATGCTAAAGAATTATTCTAAAAGAGCATTAAAAGCTTTAGCTGTGGGTAACCCTGGGAAGGGAGTGTTTTCTTCTTCTTCTTTATCGTGAGAGAAAGACAAAACAAAACAAAACAAAACAAACAAACAAACAAACCACAAAGAGAGGCTCAAATTCAGAAAGTGTCACTTGGGAGAGGAGGCCTCATTCATATCAACAACCAATGGATTGGTCAAACCAGCAACTCTTTGCAATGTCATAAAATCACACGTACGTGCTGTTTTATCATCAGAGAGGATCTTATTTGGTGGTCATTCAGGTTTTAGAACAACTGGCATGTTTTTTTGTTTTTTGTTTTCAAATGCCTATTAACTCACTACAGAGGTAAAACACGAGAGGCAGACACGCTGGCAGGAGGAAGATTAACGATCTCTGCAGAGCTGGGAAGAATATTTTTCAATTCATATAGATGGAATTCATCATCCCCACCTCTGAAGACGGCATGATTTGCTCACTTACAAAATCTCTATCTGTTTCAATATTTCCTAAAGATGTGATTTTTCACTTTTCACTGGGACTAACACAAGATGGCAAGCCTGCAAGCAGAGAATTAGGAGTCAGTGGGTGGGTGTGGGGAGCCCAGTTATGGCAGCGGGGGTAAGCATTCATTCATTCATAAATAAGAGCTGCCCTTTGGAGTAGGGGAGGGTCTGCTGTAACAGAGTTAGGAAAGAAGTGTGTATCAGCGAAGATGGAGTCAAAGTTTTAAAAGGAAAATATTTCCCAGTATGTATTCTTAGGCCCGATCTGCACTTAAGTTAGGGCTTTGTAAGCTGAGGTTACAACCGCCTTATTCCCTAGTTCCAAACCACAGGAACCCCTGACCCCGAAGAAAAACAACAGAAAGAGAGACAGAATGCTGTTTTGTGCCCAGCCAGTCCAAACTGCAACCTTCCGCGTCACCGCTAGTTGTCACTTCGCTCCCAGACGGGAGACCCGGGGTTTCCAGCACTGCGGTTTGAGAGAATGCGGTCCCAATTAAACTAAAAAAAAACTCGTAAAGCTTCCTCTTAAGTCCTCAGCCGAGTGAAGGGTAACAAGCAGAAGGGTCGGGGGGCCAGTTTTGGGGGGAGTGCCACAGGCAGATAGACAGACAGACCACAAAGAACAGGCAAACCGCTGCTGGAGCAGCCACTGTCTGGGACCTACACGCACTAGCCAGACACTCTGCGGGTGTGGGGGGGGGGGGGGGGAAGGAGGGGAATGGAAGGGCCTTCAGCACTCAGCACCCCCTCCCCACTTGATGAGGCCGCGACAGAGTGAGCCTCTCTACTCCGTCCGAACCCCTTTTGCACCGTTAAGGATAGTCAATGGTCAGTATAGAAAATCGCGTTACCTGAAGAATACAATGGTCTCCCAAAGGTAGAATCGCAGAGTGTTGAAGCTGTGCATTTTCTAGATTCTTGTGCTGTAAAGTCCACGAGTTACGGGTTGCAAAAAAAGGTTTCCGATGGGCACTTAATGAAGCCGGAGAGTGCCACTGGGGAAAATAATCCAGATGTTTAAGGGAGCTGGGGAGTAGAGGGACGAGGTGGCAGAGCTGGGGAAGAACTGCAGCCAGGCGGCTTAGGTGCTCGCGGCCGTGCAGGTTCAGCACCACGGAGAGCGTCCAGCCCGGCTGCGGGCGGGAAGAGCGCTGCCGGTGCTCAACTCGTTGGAGGCTCCCTGCAGCGCTGGGAGGCACGTTTAGGGGTGGGTATATTTTCTTTCTTTCTCTCTCTCTCTCTCTCTCTCTCTCTCTCTCTCTCTCTCT